TATATTTCTTTTAACAAAATAAATATTTTGCAATTAAGCTCTACCCCCTTGGCTCACGACCAATAAAAAAAATCATTGCAATTGAGATCGGGCGGGTGGGCGGGGCTTATATTTTTCCTTTTTGTGTTAACATATACAGACTTCTGTTCGCAACATGAAACAAAAATATGTTTAAAATGGAAAATTTGTATAAGGAAATATTGATTTTGCAATCAAGCTCAGTCCCATCATTGCAAAATCCATATTTCCTTGCAAAAATGTACCATTTTAACCATGTTCTCAGTTTCTTGTGTTGAAAAGATGGCTATGTATATTAAGAAAAAAAAGGAAAATATAAGCCCCGCCCACCCACCCTCTCTCTATTCTGACGATGTTTTTTTATTTGTCGTAAGCCGAGGGGCGTAATTGCAAAAAAGATATTTCCCTATACAAATTTACCATTTTAAACATGTTTTAAGTTTCTTATTGCGAAAAGATGACTACACATATTAGGAAAAAATGGCAAAATTTAAGCCCCGCCCACCCGCCCTATCTCAATTGTGATGATTTTTTTATTCGTCGTGAGCCAAAGGGGCGGAGCTTAATTGCAAAATCCTTATTTCTCTACGAGAAATAAAAGGGGTTGTAGAAGAAATGTGGAGGATTTAAGTTGATTACTACAAAAATTTACCATTTTAGACATACTTAAGTTTCTTGTTGTCGAAATAAGTCTACACATATTAAGAAAAACAGGCAAAATATAAAGAACAGATTTATCCAAACTACAATATTGAAAAATCGGAAAATTCTATCATTGAAAGAATGAAGAATACAAAAATTTTAAAATGAAAAATCCAAAAATTTCAAAAAGAAAATCAAAAAACTAAAAAATCGAGACACCAAAAAATTGAAAAATTCTAAAAACATGGAAAAAATAAAACTGCAAAATCGGATAGAATTAAAAAAATATCCCGAAAGTGAAACATCAAAAAATCGAAAAACGAAACAATTTTGCAATTTTAAAGTTTTCAAGTTCTTGATTTTCTATTTTAATCAAAATGAAATTCTGCAAAATCGAATAACTGAAAAATCGACAATTTCCTTATAAAATTGTTCAAATTCTCGATTTTTCATTTTTTAATTGTTCATCAAAACGACAAATTTATTCAAACTGAACTTTTGAAAAACATTAAAAATTGAAAAAATCAACAAAACGAAACAATTTAGCAGTTTTTCGATCTAAAATTTTTCTAATTCTCAATTTTTAATTCTTTATTTTCTCGATTTTTCATTGTTTAGTTGTTCAACAAAAGGACAAGTTTATTCAAATTGAAATTTTGATAAATTTAAAAATCAGAAAATTGTAACATTGAAACATCTACAAATTATAAAATTGAAAAATCAAAAAAATTAAAAATTGAAAAAACCGAAAAAATGAGAATCAAAAATCGAACAATGAAACTTGAAATATCGAAAAATTTAAAACTGAGAAATCGAAAAATGAAAATAATGAGAAATTAAACAAGTGGATAATTGAAAAACTATTGAAAAATCGAAAAATTGTAATATAGAAACCTGAAAACTCTTGATTAATTAAAAATCGAGAAATTGAAAAATTGAAAAAATGAAAAACAAAAATTTCTATAAATTAAGTAATCAAAAATACAAAAATGTTTAATGTCAAAATCTAAAAATTTTAAAAGGAAACTTGAAATATCGAAAAATTGAAAAATCGAAAAATGAAAAAATTGAGAAATTGAATTGGATAATTGAAAAATCGAAAAATTGTAATATTGAAACCTGAAAACCCTGATTCATTAAAAATCGAGAAATTGAAAAATCGACAAAACGAAGCAATTCTGCAATTTTTCTACATAAAATTTTTCAAATTCTCGATTTTTGTTTATTCATTTTCTCGATTTGTCATTTTTTAATTGGACAAATTTATTCAAACCGAAATTTTGAATTGAATTGAAAACTCAAAAAACGGGGAAATCGAAGAATTGAAAAAATAAAGAAAACTTGAAAAAAACGAAAAATGAGACTTAAAAACTGAAAAATGAAACTTGAAATATCGAAAAATTTAAAAATTGAAAAATCGAAAAATGAAAAAATTGAGAAATTGAACGATGGAATAATTGAAAAAACAATTGAAAAATCGAAAAATTGTAACATTGAAACCTGAAAACCCTGTTTAATTAAAAATCGAAAAAGTGAAAAAAACGAAAAATTGTAAAAAGATGGAAAATCTAAAAATTAAAAAGCAATTTGGAAAATCGAAAAATTAAAATATCTGCAAATTAAAAAATCGAAAAATACAAAAATTTTACTAAAAAATAAAAATCATAATGAAAATCGAAAAACTAAAATATCGAGAAATCGAAAAATGTAAAAACGAAACACGGAAAAATATAAAATTAAGAGTTAAAAAAACTAAAAAATTAAAAATATCGAATTGAGAAAAGAAAAAATTGAAGAAACAAAATAATCTGGAAGTACTTTATTTTCTCAATTTTTCGAATTTTTCATTTTTTATTAAAAGTAAAATTTTAAAAAATCAAGAAATCGGAAAATTGTAACACTGAAACATCGAAAAATTGTAAAACTGAAAAATTGAAAAATCAATAAATTAAAAACTGAAAAATCAAAAAAGAAACATTGAAAAACCGAACAATTTAAAAATTGAGATATCGAAGAATTGAAAAAAATAAAGAAACTCAAAATCGAATAATTAATAGGTCAACAATTGGAAAAGGAAAAATTGTAAGCTTAAAAATGAAAAAACTGAAAATTTAAAAAACAGAAAAATCGCACAATTGCAAAATTGAAAATCAAAAATAGAAAAAACGAAACTTCAAACACCCAGAAATTTAAAAATTGTAATCTTAAAACTTGAGAAACTGAAAACTTCGATCATTGAAAAAAAAGAAACTAAAATCGAAAAACTGATTAATTATAAAAACCCAGAAATAGAAAAATACGGAAAACAAAATTTTCTAGAAATACAAAAACTAACAAATTGTAAAATTCAAAAAGTAAAGAATCGAAAAATTAAAATATCTAGGCACTAAAAAAACGAAAAATACAAAAAATTTAAATTGGAAAATCCAAAAATGTCAAAATAAACATCGAAAAACTGAAAAATTAAAAAATCGAAAACTGAAAAATTTAAAAAAAGACAAAACATTGAACAATAAAAAATTGAAATACCGAAATGTTGAAAAAATAGCGAAATTAAAAAATCGGATAACGAAAAAATCAACAATTAAAAATTTCTTAACATGGAAAAATCGAAAAAACGAGAAACTGTCAGATCTAAAAATTATAACGTTGAAACCTGAAAAAACTGACGAAAATAAAAATCGAAAAACTGACAAATCCTAAAATCGAAAAGCTAAGAATGTTAAAAACTTGCGAATTAAAAAAAAATGCTCACACCGCACAGATTTATATTTATATTTTGACTCTTGATGTACATAGTATTCTTTGTTATAAAGAAATAATAGTATTTTGCAGTTAAGCTCCGCCCTCTTGGTTCACGGCGAATAAAAAAATCATCACAATTGAGATAGGGTGGGTGGGTGGGCTTACATTTTGCCTTTTTATTATGGTACGTGTAGACTTTTCACAACATGAAACGTAAAATATGTTTAACAAAAATTTGCAAGATCGAAAATCTAAAAATTCGAAAAATTGAAACCTAGAAAACTTGAAAATGAAAAATTTAATCATTCTGAATCGAAAAATTTTAAATCAGGAAATTGCAACATCGGAAAACTAAAGGATTTTTAAATACTCAAAAATGGCTATTAAAAAAATGCTGTCAACGCAATATAAATAAACGCGGTGAAAGCAATTAAAAATTAATTAGTTAGAAAAGAAAAATTTTAATATAAAAATCGAAAAATCTAAAAACTGTAAAATCGCGAAAATTTCGGTTTTAATAAATTTGTTCTTTTTGAATTAAATTAAAAATTAGAATCTGGGAAAACGAAACATTAAAAAAATGAGAACTTAAAAAAATTAAAAGCTAAATTAAAAATTGAAAACACGAAAAGCTAAAATCGAAAAATTAAAGAAACAAAAAGTCACAAATGGAAAATATGAAAATCGGAATATTAAAAATCGAGAAACTAGAATGTAAAATCCAAAAACTGAATGAACGATGTAGAAATTGACAAATTGGGCTAAAAAAATTAAATACAAAAATTGAAAAAAAAAATAAAAACACCCAAGAAGCTTCAAAGATGTTTTCACTAATGAAAAAAATACTAGGGACCCACTTGATATTTTCAAACTTTTTACTCAAGGGTTCTTTTCCAAAAAAAATACATTAATGACCCTCAAACTTCGTTCAAATATTTTCCAACATTTTTCAAAAATAAAACGCCATTGTTCTCACAGATTATTCCAAATATTTTTTTTTTTTTTTAAATTAAACACAAAGAATTGCGAATAATCTTTCAACTTAAAACAGAGAGATTAGGGGAGTTCAAAATTTCAAATTCCTAAAAAACACAAAATCCATTTTCAAAATTTTTACAAAAATAAAGTGCTGGCCTGACATGACCTGACTTGACAAGTTCTGACCTGACATGACTCACCTTACAATAAATGGATTTTGCTCAACCTGACGTGACCCAGGTTGATGTGACTTATTCTGTCACTATGTCTAGATCTATCCTGACATAACCTGACTTGCCATGTTTTGACCTGACATAATTTGGACTGCTCATAAAGTCAGTCTTATCATAGCAAATACTAGTCCCGCCCACCTGCCCTCTATTTTCTCAGAGGATATGTCATTTGCCCCAGTCAGTCTTATCCTAACAAGTACTAATCAAATTAAATTAACAAATGTAAATAAACGCGATGAAAACCATTAAAAATTAATTAATTACGAAAAATTGTAATTATATTTTTATTTTTCCCTACTCTAGGGGCCACGAAACGTCATGAAACTCGCTTACAACACTTAGCTTACGCTCAGCGATTAAAAATAACTGAGTGTCACGATTTACCTGTAACGTGCTCTCCTGGATTTTCTTCACTTTATACTTTGTCCCATAAAACGGCTCAACCTCATCCAACTGACTCTCATACTGCTTGGCCAAAACCACGATTCTGAAACCTCATCATTACCCCCAATTTCAACAAAACTCGTCATTACCGGATCTTTTCAGGCACAAAATCGCTCCATATACTCTCAATAATGTCGGGTTTCCACTCGGAAAATAAGTACATACAACTCAACACATCCTCCATCGCGTAGTCCTACCAACAACCCACAATGAAAACTTTACCAAACCCACCACCAAACTATTACTTGTAACGTGTGAACCAACCCCGAAATGTAACTCCTCGGCGACTCTTTATCCTTGAACCTGAACAGCATGTTCCCGATGTCCCTATTTTCGTCCTGCACCCATTTCTGCGGACCCTGCTCCTTCAACATGTTCATATACTGAAAAATCAACTCGACAATGTCATCAATGTGCTTAATTCCTTCTTCGGTTAAATCCACAGTCACCCCAAAGAAACCCATACCTCGAGGCGCCGGTCTACTACCAGCTACCAGATTATTCGACCATCCGCGCGCCTTCAACGTCGACAGAATACTCCCAGGACCCTCGTGCCCCATCAAGTGACTAATATAGTGCGACGGCTGCAACAAAAACAGTTTAAAATTTGAATTTCGCGCGGTTGGAAACGTCAACAAAAACGTCAATTAAGCGCGAAATCGGTGATCTAACCTCACTCTACAACAAAATGGCCGATTTGTGGGACGAATACGATCACCCCGACGATCAAATAACTTACGTAGTGGAAAGTTTGAGGTCAAGCGGGGTTGAAAAGTCGATTACGCACGAATATTTGGGTTGTAATTGTGAAGATAAATGTATCCCGGAGACTTGTTCGTGTTTACTACGAAGTGGGGGTCACTATTCGTACGAAGACAAATCGCAACTTCAAAACTACAGTTTAGTTATCACCGACAAGAATAAACCCGTTTATGAGTGCAGCCCCAATTGCAAGTGCGAACCATCGAGGTGTGGTAACAGATTGGTCAGTTTTGGGCCACGAAGCAACCTAAAAATTGTAACAACACCCAAAGGGTTGGGTTTAAGTACGGAGAGAGACATCGAGACTGGCAATTTCATATGTGAGTATGCAGGTGAAGTGATAACGCGCGATGACGCTCACAAACGGTTCAAAAAATATCAAGAAATGAACTTCAACCACAACTATATTTTCTGCATTAATGAGAATTTCGGCGATAGAAATATTAAAACTTTTGTCGATCCGACGTTCTACGGGAACATTGGGCGCTATATTAATCACAGTTGTGACCCAAATTGTCTACTAGTCCCGGTGAGAGTCGAAGATGAAGTGCCCAAACTATGTATCTTCGCGAAGGAAAAAATTGAGGTGATGAACGAACTCACGTTCGACTATGGCGAAGGTGATGGTAACATCTCTGAGAAAAAAAAGTGCCTGTGTATGTCCCACAAGTGCAGGAAATATTTGCCCTTTGATGGTACCATTTAATACTTACTGAAGACTTGTAATACTCTTGAAGATCTGGACATGGGAAAACTATATTCAAGTTCCTGACATCTTTAATGGGGTACATGTACACGCACGTCCCGAAGTGTTCTTCTTTAAATGGGTGCTCCTCCCACCTGGGGGACTCTACAGACTTATCTTTCACTTCTGAAAATAGTTTGACCACCATTTCTTCCAGTTCATCAAGAGTTTCTAAAAGTGGATTTTACACACTCTCCAATCAAGCAAAAAACGTACCCTTTCCCAATATTGCCAGACACATTATATTAGATGAATACCATTTCTCATGGAACTTTAATAACTCATCACGGACATTGATGTTAGTTTCTTTTGGTAACGTGTCCAAAGTATATTTATTACCTAAAATTCACATTTATTATTATTATTTTTTATTACACTATGTATTTCAATAAAGATGTTTATATTTAAACTATAATAATTATAAAAATTATTATTCACCCGTTCCAAAAGTATGGTAGGAGTGGTTGGGGTGCGCCAAATGCTTATCCAACTGGTCCTTCCGCCAAACGTCACTGGGTATATTTTTCTCGTGTTCGGAATTAACAGCGTTCACTTCTCGATCAGTCGCACTTTCAGTAAACAACGGGGCGATGAAAAACTGCGAAAATCTATCCAGAGCATTATTCAGTTCATCAGGTACTATGTCAAAATAGTATATTGTGTGATCCGGGTAAGTGGCGGCGTTGCTGCTGCCCCCGTGCTCACTCAAAAACTTGCTGTAGTCGTTCTCGTTTGGGTACTTCTTGGTACCCAAAAAAAGCATGTGTTCGCAAAAATGCGCCAGCCCTAGGACTTCCTTGGGGTCACTCATGTACCCTACAAAACCCCATGAAACATCTGCTTACACTCAATGCAACGTCATTACCAACGTTTACGTCCAGAGCCGCTGCAGACTTGTCGGTCGTGGGGTCGCTAACCAGCAGCACTTTCATGTGGTTGGCGAGCTCCAGGCCTCGGTACAGCCGTTTGTCCTCTTGCGATTTGATGATATTTTCGACTCTCCGTACAACTAGGTTTGGTGTGTCCATTTTGTTCGTGGTGGTGGATTTGTTTGCGGTTAAACTTATGGTACTACAAATTGGTGTTAATGGGGTTTCGTCAGTTTGTGGTTACAGTCTACCCACCTGTAAAAGTAAAATGTTTTCAAGCGGTTGTCAGTTAACTTCTTGACGAACACTACACTGTGTTTTATGAACTGCATCCAGACTTAATTTAATTTGTAACAATTAACTCATTTAAATACTAGTAAAACGTTGGGTTTTTGGTGACCACAGAGCCCACTTGACTTCCAAGATCGAACTGTCAAACTGGCTGAACTGTCAATGACGTCACGACGGCCACGATCATAGAGCGGATAGGCGGATGGAGCTCCATTCAATCGTCTTGGAAAAATTCGATCGCGTGAAATCGACCCACTGAAATGTTCACATTGTAAAATTTATCCACGTATGTGATAGTAATGAATAAATGTATAGCGCATAGGATAAAAAAAATCCAGTTAAACCATCTCTATAGTTTATACTTCATTGGTAGTATGGCATCATCTGTCAAAAATAAAAATGTCTTCAAGTAAATATCGCCTAATATTTTTCGTTGGAAAGCTTTTATTTGTTGTTACACAATGCATTTTTGCAAAAATTAAATGTATTTAACGCAAGAGTTGCATGTTGATTGAAAAAAAAGTAAAAAAGTGGCCGCCCGAGCAGGGACTTGAACCCTGGACCCTTGGATTAAAAGTCCAATGCTCTACCGACTGAGCTACCCGGGCTTCTTATCTGTCGTGCCTCGAGTTAATATGCCTGTCACGTTTGAAAAGTCTCAAAAATTGATAAATTTGTTTAGGAAAATTGTTTTAAATGATATTAGAAATAAATTTAATGTGTTGTTAAAATGAATCCAAATTTAAAAAATCAAAATTACAACATCTTGCATTTAACTTTGAAATTTTGGAATCGGTTTTGGTTATCGTAAGCATGTTAAATCGTTAATCAAATTTTCTTCGTTTATGCCCCTAAAACAATAATGACATGATTTTCCAATTTTGCCGATTTAATTCACGTTTATAGTTTCTCCAGTTCTAATTGGGTTTTATGATGCATAAAAGTTAACTTGCTTAACAACAGATTACTACTGCCGGTGATAAGACAGTCATAAATACGAATTAAACCATTATACTGTATAATGGGTATGGGCGTGGTTAAATCCTTATTTATGGCTGTCCCATCATCGGCAGTAGTAAGTTAACTTTTACAAAAAGAGGTAATATCATAAAACTTTAATATTTACCTGTTTTTTCATCTATTTTAAGGTGTATTTTTTTCAGAATAGGTAAGTTCTTTTATGTTTTATTAATTCTGAAAGTACTTATTTGAAAAAATCTCGGGTAGTTCTTGATACTTTTTTATCAAATTTGAAAGAATCTTAGAGGTTTTTAGTATTCAATTTTTTTGAGAATGTGGAAAGATCTACAGGGTTACTGATGCTTTGTTTAAAAAAAATAAAGAGTCTCAAGAGTCCCTGGTGTATTTTTTAACAGTGTAAAAGCATTTTGGAACCCATTACATTTTTTCATTTTGAAAGAATTTGAAAAAAATCCCATATAGTCCCGATTTTCTTTCTAATTACTCATTTTATTGGATTAAAGTGGATTTTATTTATTGGCTTATTGAGATCAAGATTGAATTTTATTGTCAAGTGGTAGAATCTACACTTACAAAAAATTCAAAGTAGCCCCGCCCACCCACCCGGTTTCCATTCTGATCGACCATTTTATTGGAAAAAAGTTGGTTGTTTTTAGGTATATTGATAAATAGTGGAATTTTGACAAAAATGTAAAATTAACCCCACCCACTTCTGCTTTTGAATTTCATTGATTTATTTTATTTACTCTGAGATGAAAATTGAATTCTATTTTGTCGAGTGGACGAAAAAAAAAATCAAATTGGGACGCCTTATGCTTTTATTAATTTTGAAATTATTTGAAAAAATTCGTAGTAGGTACTTTTTTAAAAAAAATTGAAAAAAATCTTGGAAGCCATGTGTTATATTTTTTAAAGAATATTAGAAGATATTGGGACCGTTTTATCTTTTATTAATTCTGAAAATATTTGAAAAAATTTCGGATCGTCCTTGGTATTTTTTTATAAAATTTGAAAAAATCTTAGGTGTTCTTAGTGTTTTCTTTTTTTTAGAATGTGAAAAGATCTCAGGGGCTACTGGTGATTTATCTTTAAAAGAGATCAAATCCTCAGGAGCCCCAATATATTTTTTTAAGAATGTAAAAGCATTTTGGGATGTCTTATGTTTTTTAATTTTGAAAAAAAAAAAAAAAGAAAAAATCTCGGGTAGTCCCTGGTATTTTCTGTAGAAAGTTGGAAAAAAAATGGCCCCGCCCACCCACCCGGTTTTCTTTCTAATCACCCATTTTATTGGATTAAAGTGGATTTTCAATCGATAAGCACTGGAATTTTCAATTTAACAACTTATCTTTTATTAATTTTGAAAGAATTTGACAAAATCCCGAAAAGTCAGTTTTTACAGAACGTTTGAAAGAATCTTGGGAACCCTTCGTGTTTTATTTTTTAGAGAATGTGAAAAGATCTTGGGGGCTACTGGTGCTTCATCTGTAAAAGAATTTGAAAGAGCCTCAAGAGCCCCTGTTGTATTTTTTAACAGTGTACAAGCATTACGTTTTTGTTCATTTTGAAAGAAATTGAAAAAATCCCGTATAGTCCCTGATGTTTTTTTTAGGAAATTTGAAAGAATCTCGGAAGCCTCGTGTTGTATTTTTTAAAGAAATTAAAAGATGTTAAGGGTTACTGGTGTTTTATCTTTAAAAGAGTTTAAAAGAGCCTTAAGAACCTTGGTGTATGGTTTTAAGAATGTAAAAGCATCTTGGGACCTCTTATATTTTTTAATTAAAAAAAAAAGAGAAAATGTGGGGTCGTCCCTGGTACTTTTTGTAGAAAGTTCGAAAAAAAAAATGGTCCCGCCCACCCACCCAATTTTCTTTCTAATGACACATTTTATTGGATTAAAGTAGATTTTCAATCGACAAGCAGTGGAATTTTGAATTTTATTGGCTTATTTTAAGTACTCTGAGATCAAAATTGAATTTTATAGTCAAGTGGTAGAATCTACACTTCAAAAAATTCAAAGTAGCCCCGCCCACCCACCCGATTTCCATTCTGAGCGATCATTTTATTGGAAAAAAGTTGGTTGTTTTTAAGTATGTTGATAAATAGTGGAATCTTGACAAAATTGCAAAATTAACCCCATCCACTTCTGCTTTTGAATTTCATTGGCTTATTTTATTTACTCTGAGATGAAGACGAAAAAAACATTCCAATTGGGAGGCCTTGTGTTTTTATTAATTTTGAAACAATTCGAAAAAATTCGTAATGGCCTCTGGTACTTTTTAAAAAAATTTGAAAAAATCTCGCTTGACAACAGATTACTACTGCCGGTGATGAGACAGTCATAAATACGGATTAAACCATTATAATGGGTACGGGCGTGGTTAAATCCTTATTTATGGTTGTCCCATCACCGGCAGTAGTAATCCATTGTTAAGGAACTTAACTTTTACAAAAAGAGGTAATATCATAAAACTTTAATATTTAACTGTTTTTTCACCTATTTTAAGGTGTATTTTTTTCAGAATGTGCAAGTTTTTTATGTTTTATTAATTCTGAAAGTATTTGAAAAAATCTCGGGTAGTTCTTGGTACATTTTTATCAAATTTGAAAGAATTTTAGAGGTTTTTAGTGTTTAATTTTTTTGAGAATGTGGAAAGATCTAGGGGGTTACTGATGCTTTCTTAAAAAAAAAATAAAAATAAAAAGAGCCTCAAGAGTCCCTGGTGTATTTTTTAACAGTGTAAAAGCATTTTGAAAGAATTTGAAAAAAATCCCATATAGTCCGTGATATTTTTTTTTTAGGAAATTTGAAAGAATCTTGGGGGTTACTGGTGTTTTGTCTTTAAAAAAGTTTAAAAGAGCCTTAAGAACCTTAGTGTATGGCTTTAAGAATCTAAAAGTATCTTGGAGCCTCTGGTTTTTTAATTTTGATAAAAAAATTAGAAAATCTCGGGTAGTTCCTGGTATTTTTTGTAGAAAGTTTGAAAAAAAGTGGCCCCGCCCACCCACCCGATTTTCTTTCTAATCACCCATTTTATTGGATTAAAGTGGATTTTATATCAACAAGTAGTGGAATCTTGAATTTTATTGGCTAATTTTAAGTGCTCTGAGATCAAAATTGAATTTTATAGTCAAGTGGTAGAATTTACACTTTAAAAAATTCAAAGTAGCCCCGCCCACCCACCCGGTTTCCATTCTGATCGATCATTTTATTGGAAAAAAGTTGGTCGTTTTTAGGTATATTGATAAATAGTGGAATTTTGACAAAAATGTAAAATTAACCCCACCCACTTCTGCTTTTGAATTTCACTGATTTATTTTATTTACTCTAAGATGAAAATTGAATTCTACTTTGTCGAGTGGACGAAAAAAAATTCAAATTGGGACGCCTTATGCTTTTATTAATTTTGAAATAATTTGAAAAAATTCGTAGTAATCCCTGGTACTTTTTTAAAAAGTTTGAAAAAAATCTTGGAAGCCTTGTGTTATATTTTTTAAAGAATATTAGAAGATATTGGGACCGTTTTATCTTTTATTAATTCTGAAAAAATTTGAAAAAATTTCGGATCGTCTTTGGTATTTTTTTATAAAATTCGAAAAAATCTTAGGTGTTCTTAGTGTTTTCTTTTTTTTAGAATCTGAAAAGATCTCGGGGGCTACTGGTGTTTTATCTTTAAAAGAGATCAAATCCTCAGGAGCTCCAATATATTTTTTTAAGAATGTAAAAGCATCTTGCGACTCTTTATCTTTTATTAATTTTGAAAGAATTTGAAAAAATCCCGAAAAGTCTGTTTTTACAGAACGTTTGAAAGAATCTTGGAGACCCTTCGTGTTTTATTTTTTAGAGAATGTGAAAAGATCTTGGAGGCTACTGGTGCTTCGTTTTTAAAAGAATTTGAAGAAGCCTCAAGAACCCCTGTTGTATTTTTTAACAGTGTAAAAGCATTACGTTTTTGTTCATTTTGAAAGAATTTGAAAAAATCCCGCATAGGCCCTGATTATTTTTTTGTAGGAAATTTGAAAGAATCTTGGAAGCCTCGTGTTGTATTTTTTAAAGAAATTAAAAGATCTTAGCGGTTACTGGTGTTTTGTCTTTAAAAGAGTTTAAAAGAGCCTTAAAAACTTTAGTGTATGGTTTTAGTAAGTAAGTTTATTATATATTTAGGAATGTAAAAACATCTT